AATATAATAGAGGTATTCATATACTCTGAAGAATTTTATAAGCTTTCTTCGAAAAAATCAAGTAAAAACACAATTACATGTTTACTAGCAGAAAAATAAAAACACCCATCCTTTTTCCACTTGAGGCATAATATCAAATCTACGTATTATGGGTATTAAAATAGTCTGTTTTCACTAAGTATCTCAAAAAAACAACGTTAAAGACCCATCAACAGATTCTGCTTGCCTAGAAGTTTATACTCGGTTTAAGACCTCCCAACAACTTCTGAAACTAGTGCTAAAGATGATTATGCTTTACTAAATCCGTTTGAAGCGGCTTACTCTTAAGGCAACATTGGGGGAAACGAGATCACATAAGGATGCGAGTAGGTAAATGGACCATATGAAGTCGTGTGAGAAAAAGAGATGCAGCTCTAGAGGGTAGAACAAAAAATAGGGGCAAGGAGTGATATTAAAGTGGTTGAACAGGAAATTGTGGCGCCACTTTGATAAGTGCTAACGATAGCGCCTCGCATTGACTGAGCTGACTACGATGTCGTGGAAATGTGTGGAAATGTACCAGGTCAATGGTCCGATGCTGAAAATCACGAATTCTATGGCAGAGAACGCATGAATATGTACGTTTCACAGAGTCTCCCTGTTGCTACAACCAAGTTGCGAAGACGAGGTCAAACTAAACCTATCCTAAAGTATGTTGGTCGCAAAGGTTCTTCTGTAAATTTAACAACACCATGGATCCAAACATACAGTCTCACTTGTTTAATACACGTAATGAATTATAGAAACAACTTTTATGATGCAGAAACCGTTATATACTTAGATGAGGTGAGACAATGCAAAATGTAAATTTAAATCCTGGGAAATTAATGTTTAATATGATCACTTCTTAAGACAATACAATTAAACAAAGATAAGTTATATGAAATCAAAACTCTACTTGTATACGAAAAACAAAGATTGGACTTTTAGGGTTTGATTACATTAAAAAGATCAAACTTACATTTCCTTCTGCAATATGGCTGCAGTTCTCAGTAATACCTGGTTTTTCATGCTCTAGAAATTGCAACGTCTCCTATAATTTAGAAGCAATACAAAGTAAGTTATTAGATAAAAGAATCTCGCATTTCTGTAAATTATTAAATTCATAACCTTTTTAAACTGTTTATTCGTTCCCTTTACTGTCAACCCCCCCATTCTATTAGACCAATAGAAACTTACAGCTCGTTCCTTAGATTTGGAAATTGGGTTCGTCTTAGACCAGTATCGCAGGATTAAGGAGGGCTTGTCCTGATTT